TGAGTTTGAAAAATTCCCTACAATTACCAAGGATGTATGAGAATCCAATCATAAAAAAATTGCCAAAAAAGCACTTGTGACAGTCCATTCTGGAAAAAATTGTCAGAGGAGATGACGCATGACAATTCAATCTTATAAAAACTTCCCGATGAAGAAGATACATGAAAATCCCATCTTGGAAAATATTGCCAGAGGAGATGATACATGACAATCCAACCTTGGAAAAAATTGCTGCATAGATGAAGAAGGCGCGTGACAATCCACTCTTGGAAATATTTCAAGTGGAGATGATGTACCCGAGCCCTGCAAAAAATCAAATTTTGCCAAAGGACCTTGAGAGTTGGTTGACATGAGGTTGACTCAAGACTTGATGTACTTGACTTATTGTTTATGACTCGATGTACTCAACTCGACTTGATGTGTTATGACTTGATGTGGTGACATGACATGCCTTAATGTGCATGACTCGTGTGCAGAGTCAAGTCAATGTGGTGACACGACATGACTCGTGTGTTCATTGTGTTGTGATTGTGCTCGTGCAACTCAAAAATGCAGAAAAGCAAAAACATTTCGTCATTTTTGTGTAGGGTACCTACTTTCTCCCAAAAAGAAAGACGTGAAACTGAAAACAGGTAATGTGTTGGTGAAAAACGAAGTTTTTGAACTTTCCCAAAAGGAAAAAAGATGAAAAGAATGAATAGAGTAATGATGCATGTTGGGTAAGCTTATTTAAGTGTATGCATTAATGTCGTATCTCATGGTGTAAGGATTGATGATTTGATAATGAAAGTATTTGGGTAACTTAGGCTCGAAGGCTAAGTACCTCATACTTTGTGATGCAATGATGATTATGAGTGATTCTAAAATGACAAGGCGTGCTTCAGATTCGTATCAGGATTTCATGACAAAGGGTTCCTAAGGGAAGGATTATTTGGCTACGTATTTATGATGTGTGTTAGAGTGACACTAAAGGTTAGGCCGTAAAGGCTAAGGGTGTGGAAAAATATTTTGAGAAGAGCCAAGTGATGGTGACTCTTAGGCTAGGTAGGCTAATGAAGTAGGGATTAAGCCCCCAAGTCTAGCTCTAAAGGGATAGGGATGAGCATATGATCATGATGTGAATTTAAGTGAATGCATTTTTATTACGACCGCGCCCCAATGTGAGGTTGTTCACGTATCCGTTAGGAATCAGGTCGAACGTAGCTCTAGCCGAACTTCGATTAAGTATGTGTACACCTCAAGGAGGTCTTTCAAGGGTTGTAACGGGGTTATGCTAAAGCTTGAAGAAGAAGGGATAATGGCTCAAGATCTACAATAAGCCCCCAAGGTGTGCAAGCTTGCATTTGAATCTTGGTATTTGTATGCTTGAGGTTTCTCACTTTTGAAAATGTTTTTGTTTTTGTATTTGAGATTTGTATTTGAATCTTCTTTGGATATTTTTGTGGATAAGTGTATGCAATCCCGATAATGCGATCTATCACTCACTTGGCCTTCATGTTTCTCAAGCACGGTACTGAGCGCTCGATAAGTGATGCAATCCGAGACATGTTCATATCAAAGACATTGGAACAATTGCCCTTTTGCACACTTTTATTGCTTTTTCAACTTTTGAAATTTTAGGACTTAGGTAAAAATCACTCAAGCTTTTGTACTTGGCTTTGAAAATTTCACAAGTTACACACCATCCCATCCCAAGGTTAGGTAAATGTGAGTTGAAAAATGAAAGGCCAATCGTTAAACGAGGCTCAAAGTGGTTTATCAAAAGAGGTTAAATATTTGAAAGGGTAAAGGTAATATGATGTGGCTACAAAGGGGTGCCTCAATCATTGGTATACCTTGTATTTAGTTCGGCGTGGATTTTTTTTTTTAAAATCCAATGCAATGATCATGTGCAAGGAAATAAATGCTCATTTTATTGAAATGGAAAGGGTAATGTAAACACATAAGGAGAAATGTCTTGGGGATGCCTATGCTAGACTTATTAGGGAAAGGGAAAACAAGAAAGAAAGAAAAATCATGAAACTCCTAAAAATGAAGTGCCTTGTGCCTTGTCTCATTATTACACGGTCTTCTTGCCAGCTAGAGGGAACGGAAGCTTATTTGCATCAATGAGATCTTGAATAAGGTTTTGAAACCTGTAACATTCATCCGTGATATGACTGTTGCCTCGATGGTACTTGAAATAGAGTTAGGATTCCATCTTGAAGATCGCTTTTCTAATCTTCGATCTTCAGTGGGACCAATCCACTTGATTAAACCCCGATTGTAGAGACGATCGAAAGCTATATCATAGGATATTCCAATAGGTTTGAATTCTCTTCTAGGTTTCTTGGCTTTTGAATATCCTTGTCAAGGGCCTAGATTTCATCGACATCGACATTATTAATGTAATTGCTATTTTGATGGGAAGAAGAGGAAGAACGATTGTCGTTCTTCCTACTCTTGCCATTGTTGCCATTGTTGTTACCTTTATCCTTCAAGAGCTCATCTTCAATGTCAATACCTATGTCATAAACTGCCCTGAAAGTAGTCAACCCCAAGAACCTTGGGTGCTTATAATACTTTTTCAGACGATTTTTTATGAACATTCTCACGAAGTCTTTTTCGTCTAGGGCTTTAATCATCCTAGTAGAAACTTCCTTCCACCTAGTATAGAATTCGATGAAGCCTTCATTGTCCTTTTGCTTCAAGATTTCAAGCTCTAGGTGATCAGTTTGGACTAGGAAATTACACTTGTATCTTTTTATGAAGGCATGCATAATACCGTCCCAAGTGGAGGTCCCCTTGAAGTCTTAAAAAAAGAATCATTGTTGGCACACTGACTCTAATTGAAGGGAGAAAATCGAAGGGAAGATTTGTTTGTCAATCCCCTTGATTTCCATTACTGTTTCAAAATCTCTCAAGTGGAAGTAAGGGTTATATGTAGGCTTGAACTTAGGAATGTCAGTGTTAGAGAACTTGTACGGAAGAAGTTCCTTATCCAGTGAGATTCCCTTGGTACTCATATCAAGATACTTATAGTCACTGGAAACTTGGCCTAGCTTCTCTTGTATGCGCTTGATAGTCTCAGGCGGAACTTGTTTGTCAGTATCTTCAACCTTCTTTACTCGAGTGGAGAGTGCCTAGACAAGCTCGGCAAGATTCTCCATGGTTTTTTGGAGAGCTTTAACATCTTCCTTAGTGGCTGTCATTGGTTTCTTCTTCCTTTGAACCGTGTTTCTGAAGAAGATCTCTTGTATATAGGAGTTGTCTCGAACTAATCAACCTTCTTTTGATAACTTGCTATTTGATATGATTTTAGGGTGTTTTTGAACTTAGTTTACTTGATAAATTTGTGTTTTGGTTCACTTTTACTCTATTATTATGCAATTTTTGTTTATCCTATGCTTCAAAGGTTGTTAGTGTTTTTTGTTGAGATTCTAGGTCCAAAGATGACCAAATGAAGCCCATGGATACTAAACCAAGGTTAGAAGCAAGAAGATGGTAGAAAGAAGTCAAGGAAAGGAGCAATATAGAAGAAAAGATGAAGAAAAGGGCTTAGAAGACCCTGCACAGCCGTGCTAGACCTTGCACATCCGTGCAGGGGTGCTCCAGAAAGTCAAAACCTTCTGCCAAGGCCTGCACGGCCGTGCTTAAGTTGGCACGACCGTGTAGAAGAGGCTGCACGTCCGTGCCATAACTAGCATGTCCGTGCAGGATTTCAAGCCCAAACAGTAGCTTCTGCCATGCCCTGCACGGGCGTGCTTAAGGCAGCATGTCCGTGCAGCTTGGTTTGCACGTCCGTGCTGACCTACTGTCGAGCCCGATTCTTGTTTTCTCCGTCCTTTTTGTTTGGGAGTTTTATAAATACCCCCTTTGAGCTCATTTTTACGGATATCAAAGTTTTTAGAGTTTTCTCTTAGTTTTGCAATCCTAGAACATTAAATTCTCAAATTATTACTTAGTTCTTAATTATTAGCTTGGAAATATTCAACTTCAATCATTGTAGAAGACAATTTCCACCATTGTTGCTCACTTGTTTTATGTTATGTAACCACGAGAGTAGGTTGTATTCATGATTTAAGTAATCCCTCTAGCTTGAGAGAGTAGTTGGGTGCCTTAGAAGACTTCCCCTAATTTATCCCATTAATTTACTTTGATTATTGCATGCTAATTGTGATTTGTGATGAAGTTGAGTGGTATAACCCGAGCCCTAGATTCCTCTTAATATTGTTAATCTCCCCTTAGCTTTTAGTTGTATTGAACTAGTAGAAGTTACTTGAAACTCAACCAATTTAGACTTCATTTAGCTTGTTTAAACGATAGTATCTCGGTGGTTGATTCAACGCCTCTCTTAAGTTCGACCCTTTCTTACCCTTGCTATTAGTTAGTGAGACCAAGATAGGAATTATCTTTGGTAGGCTCGACGACGGCCTACCAAATTTTGGCCCCGTTGCCGGGGAGGCAAAGTCACATTGAATGTATTATTGTTGAATGAGACTAAATGTGTGTATATGTATAATAGTTTCTTACCTTAATTTTTGTTTATGTGTGTTTAACTTGTGATAGTCATTGCTGACGTTTTTCTTAGCTTTGTTTGACTTTGCATGACACGAAAGAGTAAGCAATCACCGCTTATTCCCGTTGATCCAGAGCTAAATAGGAGTTTGAGAAACGTGAGGAAACTCTTGCACGGCACACCCGAGTTTTCCATTGTATATTCGGATTCCGATCCGAAAGAGGTTTTTGGAACTAACAAAGAATATAACATGGTAGAGAATCCTCCACAACCTCTGCTACGAGACTATGACCACCCAACGCATTCCAACTTCGAAGTGGCATATCTCTCCCCACCACAAATGCAAACAACTTCGAGCTTTCACCTCAACTCATCCGTATGATTCAAAGCGATCAATTCGGAGGTAGTCCTCATGAGTGTCCTTTTGCTCATTTGGACAACTTTCTTGAGTTGTGTACAACCATCAAGCAAAACAACATTTCGGAAGAGTTCATCCGTATGCATGCACATGTTTCAATTCTCCCTCCGTGATAAAGCAAAGCATTGGTTGACAACGGTTGAAGAGGGATCATTGAGTACATGGGACGAAGTCACTAGAGCCTTTCTTGGAAAGTATTGTCCTCCGGAAAAGACCGCCGAATTAAGAAGAAAGATCACTAATTTCAATCAAGACATTGATGAAACATTGAGTGAAGCTTGGGAGCGTTTCAAAGATTACACAAGGAAATGCCCCCACCATGGTTTTACATCATGGATCATTGTACAAAGCTTCTCTGACGGTCTTACTCCTATTTCAAGGGCCAACCTTGATTCTGGGGCCGGTGGTAGCCTCAAAAAGCTATATGTGGATGATGCATATAAGATGATTGAGGAAGTGGCCAAGCATTATGCATATGGAAGTGATCGAAGGGAACCTCAAACAAAGAAGGGCGGAATTCATGATCTTAGTGCAATAGATCTTATTGCATCAAAGTTCGATATGCTAGCTCACAAGCTAGATCAAGCCACCCTCACACCATCATGCTCTTCCTCACAAGTCATGTCTTGTGAGACTTGTGGAGGAAATGATCACTTGTCTTCTTATTGCAACTCAACAAATCAAGAGCAAGCGGCGGCAATTGGGCAAAGAAATGAGCAATACTCCCGATCCTACAACCAAAGTTGGAAACCCCAACAAAACACGGGATGGAAGCAACACAACCAAGGCCCCCCACAAAACAACTACAACCAAAACCAAAACCAACCTCAAAACCACTACAACCAATCCCATTCTCAAAATCAACAAGCTCCATACCGCCACCCTAACCAAAGGGATCAAAACCATCAAAGATCACAATATAACCAACCCACTCCTCCTCCTCCACCTCCTCAAAAGACTAGCCTTGAATCCGTTCTTGAAACTTTCATGGCACAACAAATAAGGAGGAATGCATATGTGAATGCAAACATTCGACAACTTCAAGCGCACAATAAGATAATGGAGAGCCAATTGGCTCAAATTGCACAACAAGTTGGAAGTTCATCCTCCAATCCTAGTGGTCACTTTCCAAGCTCAACGGTAGTGAACCTAAAGGAGCAAGCTAAGGCTATTACTTTGAGATCGGGAAGAGGTTATGAGGGCCCGGTTATGAGTGAAGAAGAGCCACAAAAGACAGATGAGGGAGTTGTGGTAAGAGGTGAGGATGATTTTGAAAATGAAATAGTTGAAATTGAGAGAAAAGAGAAACAAAAGAGTGATGAGGGAGCCACAAAGAAAGATGAGGGAGATGAAGAAAGAATAGAAAAGCCCCCTATGAGAGTATATAAGCCCCCCATTCCGTTTCCTCATAGAATTGTAGAGAAAAAGTTGAATGAGAATATTTCAAAATTTCTTAAAGTCATGAGAGGACTTCAAGTGAACATCCCATTTCTTCATGCTATGTCACAAATGCCTACCAATGCAAAATTTTTGAAGGATCTTCTATCCAACAAGAGTAGGTGTGAAGAGAGTGCAACCATCTCCCTTCCTAAGGAGGTGAGTGCAATCATTCAAAACAAGCTTCCCCAAAAGCTTGGTGACCCCGGTAACTATGCAATACCGGTGAAGATTGGAGATTTGGAAGCTATGGATGCTTTGTGTGATCTTGGGGCAAGTGTGATCTTGATGCCCTATTCTATTGCAAAGAGCTTGAAAGTTGGAGACTTAAAACCAACAAGAATGTCCTTACAACTAGCCGACCGCACGATTAAGCTACCTTTGGGGATTCTTGAAGATGTGCCGATTCAAGTTGGAAGAGTATTTGTTCCATGTGATTTTGTGGCTATGGAAATGGAAGAAGATACAAGAGTACCCCTCATTTTGGGGAGAAAATTTTTGAACATCGCAGGAGTGGTGATTGATATGAAAGAAGGAAGATTGACTTTCAATGTGGGAGATGAGAAAATTTCATTTTCATTCTTACAAACTTTGAAGAAGCCATTGATTGATGAAGTTCATAGAATTGACACATAGGAGAGGGACTTAGAAGAGAACCGAGAAAGATTGTATGAAAGAGATCCTTTACAAGCTACCCTAACGGAAAGCTTAGTTGAGGAGGGTGAAGAAGCAAAAGGGTATGATCTCTTACTCAACCAACCTTTAGTCCACGATGTGATGAAATTTGAAGTGCTTAACGTGGAAGCAAAAGAGGAGAGGACTACTCCTCCTCCTAAGGTTGAACTTAAACCCCTTCCCCCTCTACTTAAATATGCTTTTCTTGATTATAGTGAGAGTTATCTTGTTATTTTCAATGCTAAGCTCGATGACACCTCTCTTGAGAAACTCCTAGTTGTTTTAAGGGAGTATAGAGATGTCATTGGGTACAAAATTGATGACATTAAGGGGATAAGTCCCACCATATGCATGCATAAAATTCTACTTGATGAGATCATGCTTCCTCGATTGAGCACCAAAGAAGGCTCAATCCCAACATGAAAGAAGTGGTGAAAAAAGAAGTTTTAAAACTTCTTGAGGCGGGCATAATCTACCCTATCTCCGATAGTAAGTGGGTTGGCCCGGTTAAAGTTGTGCCTAAAAAGGGAGGCATGACCATCATCAAAAATGATAAGGGTGAGACCATTTCTACAAGGTCAGTCACCGGGTGGAGGATGTGTATTGATTATCGAAAATTGAATAAATCCACCCGGAAAGACCACTTCCTACTCCTCTTCATTGATCAAATATTGGAAAGACTAGCATCACATAGTCATTGTTGCTTATTGGATGGATACTCGGGATTCTTTCAAATCCCAATCCAACCCGAGGACCAAGAAAAGACTACATTCACATGTCCTTTTGTCACCTTTGCATATCGAAGGATGCCATTTGGACTTTGTAATGCACCTTCCACATTTCAAAGGTGTATGATGTCTATCTTTTCCACCATGCTTGAATCGTCAATTGAGGTATTCATGGATAATTTTTCTGTTTTTGGTTCATCTTTTAACACTTGTCTTTCAAATTTGATTAAAGTGTTAAAAAGATGTCAAGAGGTGAACTTAGTTTTGAATTAGGAAAAATGTCATTTCATGGTAGAGGAGGGCATTGTTCTTGGTCATGTCATTTCTAGTAGGGGCATTGAGGTAGATCGTGCCAAGATTGAGGTTAAAGGAGGCCTTGATTTCGGCTCCTATCATTAAACCCCCTAATTGGGAGCTTCCTTTCGAGCTTATGTGTGATGCTTCGGAGTTTGCCGTTGTGTCCATTCTTGGACAAAGGAAGGACAAGAATCTCCATGCTATCTATTATACTAGAAAAACATTGGATGAGGCACAAAGAAATTACACAACCACGGAAAAGGAGTTTCTAGCCATTGTTCATGCATTTGAGAAGTTTAGGTCCTACTTGTTGGGCTCTAAGGACATAGTCTTCACCGACCATGCGGCCTTGAAGTACCTCTTGTCCAAGAAGGAACCTAAGCCAAGATTGATTCGGTGGGTCTTGCTCTTGCAAGATTATGATATTGAGATTAGAGACAAAAAGGGTGCCGAAAATGTTGTGGCCGACCATCTTTCACGGTTGCCTATCTTCGTAGGTGATCTTAATAACTTGCCAATTGATGATTCATTTCCTAATGATCAACTATTTGCTATCCTCCAAGCACCGGCACCATGGTTTGCGGACATTGCAAACTATTTGTCTTGCTCTATTCTTCCTCCCGACCTCACCTATCAACAAAAAAGGAAGTTTCTTCATAATGTTCGCCGATACTTTTGGGATGACCCTTTGCTCTTTAAACAAGGTGTAGATGGCCTTTTTAGAAGGTGTGTCCCGGATGATGAGATTGAAGGTGTTATCACAATGTGTCACTCCTCACCTTGTGGAGGACATATGAGTGCTAACAAAACCTTGGCAAAAATCTTGCAATGTAGTTTCTATTGGCCTACAATGTTCAAAGATGTGTGGGGTGTAGTGAAAGCATGTGACCGGTGTCAAAGAACCAGCAATATTTCAAGAAGAAGTGAAATTCCCTTTAACAACATTCTTGAGTTGGAGATTTTCGATGTATGGGGCATAGATTTTATGGGGCCTTTCCCGACCTCCTTTGGGAATAAATTCATTCTTGTGGCCGTCTATTACGTGTTAAAGTGAGTAGAAGCGGTTGCATCTCCTACTAATGATGCTAAGGTGGTGGTCAAACTCTTCAAGAAGGTCATTTTTCCAAGGTTCAGGGTGCCACGTGCCGTCATTAGTGATAGAGGTTCACATTTTGCAAAGCGGTCCTTCCAAGTTCTCCTTGAGAAGTACGGTGTGAGGCACAAGGTGTCATTGGCTTACCACCCACAACCAAGTGGTCAAGCCGAGATTTCAAACCGGGAGATAAAGATAATCTTAGAGAAGACGGTGGATAGGTCTAGAAGAGTGAAAGGAATGGTGTCCTTCCAACAAGTGTATTATTCCGATAGAGGGTTCAGAATTATTACAGAGCTAATTCTTCAGTAAGGTCAAGTGATCGGAATGCCTAGGTGGAGGCCTCTTCCGATCAATAATATCAAGGTACAATTGATATTACAACTTAATCTTAACTGAACCCTTCGGGTCGAACCCAATCGAATCTCCGATCCGAGACATCGAATTAATCCGAAAGGATTTAATGAGTCGACAGAGTTTTACGAATACAGACGTCGGAAATCGAGCCTAGGGCGTCGATACCGAGCGTCGCAAAATCACAAGAAACAAGTATGAGCGTAGCCGTAGCTAGGCTAGGCTAGCTCGTAGCATGCCTAGGTGCACCATGTGTGTGCTAGGCGCACCATGGTGTGCTAGGCACCATCGCAGCCTAGGCGCACCCTAGCAGCCCATCGCAAGCTAGCATGGGTGCCTAGGTACGCATGGCAGCCATCGCAAGCCACACAGGCACCAGGCAACCCATAGCAGCTAGCAAGCATGCTAGCGTGGTGCCTGGGTGCATATGGCGCCTATCGCAGGCCATGGCAGCACTAGGCGCACCATCGCAAGCACTAGGTGCTGCGTGCGTGCGTGCCTGGCTTGGCAGCACCATCGCAAGAACCAAGTGCTGGCATGGTTGGCTGCCTGGCAATGGCGCGCCATGTACGTGTGCTTGAGTGCTAGCCTTCGCATGGCAGCACTAAGCATCGCAGCACATGCGAGAGGCCGCGCGCCAGCGTGATGCCAGGCCTCGCACAAGCAGCCTCGCACCACAGGCGCATTAATGCGTGTGGGCTGGCAATGCGTGGTGCGTGGCGCATGGCTGGTGCGTGTGCGTGCAATGCCTGGCTAGGTGCTTGATAAGTGGCATTTATGCCACTATTTAGATCCTCTAATCGCGGTATTTTTCTTCGTTTGTCCCTTGTTTGTACCCCTTTTGCTCCGTTTATCTCTTTATTATGTTTTTGTGCTTTTTCTCGTGTTTTGTAGGCTTTTGGAGTTGATTTTAATAGAATGAAGAGCTTGGAGAATTGGAGTTCATTTGAAGAGCTACAAAGGAAGTTAAGGAGCAAGCAAGCAAGGCCATGCGGACAGCGCGGGTCGCGCTTTCAGAATGGCGCGGGCGCGCCAAACCCAGCGCGGGCGTGCCTAACATTAGGGTCGAAAATATTGGAGGCAGAATGTAGGCGCGATTTGGGCGCGGCTTAGGCGCGGGCGCTCCTAAGATAGGCGCGGGCGCTCCTAAGATAGGTGCGGGCGCTCAAGGGCCTGAACTCCAAAACTAACCTTTGTTCACTCTTTTAGCCATAACTTTTGATCTACACATCGGATTGAGGTGATTCAAATTGCGTTGGAAATTAGACTTGAAGAGCTTTCCAACGATAGGTCGCACGCCACAAGAAGCCTCCTAGAACAGAAGTTATGGATATTTTAATTTGAATGTCGCTGCCAGGCCGAAACCCAGATTGGCGCGGGCGCGCCATTCTACTGCGGTTCTATTTTTAGCCCGATTCTCTCCTATTTTTGGGGAAGTTTTGATGGTGGGTTTCTTTGGGGTTTTCTCTCTCCTCTTTGAGGGGTTAAACCCTAACATCTCTCCATCAATCTTCACATAAATTAGGCTTAGATTTAGTTTTAATCTTTGTTTTTATACTTTGCAATGTAGATTAAGAGTAATTTAGGGTATTTTAGAGAGAGAAAGTGAAGAGCTTCAATGGTGGATTGAAGAAGATGAAGATGCAAAGTGACATTGTTTTGGATTCCTTTTCAATACTTCAATGAGCATTCTAAACTCTATCTCATTTATTGTTCTTTCTTAATTTCTTGCTTGATTAGAGTAGTTGTTTAGTTTAATTGCTTCTCTTTGTTCTTCTTGTTGGGTTTTGCGTTAGTTGTTCATGATTAGTGAGTAATTCCCTTTACTAAGGGATTGGTGATAGCATGTGGTGAATCTTGAATGTATTAGGCTAGACAAATGTTGGTTATATGTGATTAAATATACCTTGTAACCATGTTTTACTAATTACTCCATGTGAATGGCCAATCATGTGTTGTAATTGGGTGGATTGAACTAAGTTATGACGATAGTGTAACTTAGGGATATCCATTAGGTGATCGATTCTATGCAAAAACCTTAACTTTCACAGCTTATGACGATAGTATGAGCATGTGTTAAGTTGGGAAAGCCTTTGACCCCGATAGGTGGTTAGATGGTATTGTTGGTATTGCCTTATATGAGATATTTGGTTTGCATGTAAACTCATTTTCATTGCCTAACTTTATTGAAGATCATTGTCATGTTTGACCCTCTCCCTTGGTGTTAGTTTAACTTAATATAAATCTCATTTTTGTTTATTGTTCTATCAGTCCTATCTCTTTGACCTAGCTTAATTGGTGGTGCTGTTGATAGTGTTTATGTCGTCTTCGTGGTTCGACCCTCTACTTACCACTAAACTTGTTTAGTGTAGGTGTAGGTTTATAAATATTGTTTGGTTGAGGGTAGTTAGTCCAACGACCTAATTATCCTTCACCAAAATGGCGCCGTTGCCGGGGACGGCTTCCATTATTGTTGTATTACCTTATTG